CCCGACAATTCCCAAAGGTTCAATAGAACGAGTCACGTGACATCGTTGACGCAACAATAATTTGATCTAAGAGTTTTGTTCCTTCCCGATTTATAGAAAATCCTTATGTGATAGAAAAAATTTATATTGTTTTCAAAATCTGCATAGCTGAATTATGGAAAATCCATTACTAAAACCAAAACAACTTTTATTATGAAGTTTAAATTCACAGGCATGTGTAATTAACAGCACAAACCATGCAGTTATTAACAGTAGTACAATCCATGAAGTTATTAACCCTAGAGTTAACATTATAAACTATGAAGTTATTAACCCTGGAATTATTGAAGAAGTCCACATAAACGTAAATTGTTTGTGGGTTTATAACTTTGTTGGTTCCATTGTTCCTAATAAACATACGAGACACACAAAAAGTGCAAACAAAATATGCTCAATGTCACAGTTAATCCCATTGATTATAATGTTGTTGGTTCCATTGTTCCTAATAACATACAAGACACACAAAAAGTGCAAACAAAATATGCTCAGTGTTGCAATTAATCCCATTGATTACTTTTAAGAGTCCCTATATATATTTTATATAGAACTTGTGTGATTTCATTCAATTTTGGATCAGTTATTTACACTAAGTGATGCAACAGGCAAATATATCCAATATGTCGACCCCACCAGTAGTGACCAGTATAGAAAAGTCATGAATTTGAAGTTGAAAGGTTAGAATGTCATGAGAAACATTTATATATATTAAAGTGGGGTGTTTATATTACACACAGTTTAATACAGATTAGTACAAAAAGTTATGTCTCACATGATTTTTTAAAAACGATTAAAATTTTTGGTGGTGAAAGTAAGAATTATATTATTAGAGACTCTTACATCATTATGTTAGTTAGTACACATTTTGTTCATTATACTCTCAAACTAAGTGACAAATGTTCCACTGTAGACTCTTACATCATTATGTTAGTACACATTCTGTTCATTATACTCTCAAACTAAGCAACAAATGTTCCACTGTAGACTCTTACTTTACTGTGTAAGTTAGTACACACTTTGTTCATTATACTCTCAAACTAAGTGACAAATGTTCCACTGTAGACTCTTACTTTATTATGTTAGTTAGAATACACCTCGTTCATTATACTCTCAAACTAAGTGACAAATGTTCCACTGTAGACTCTTACATCATTATATTAGTTAGTATACACTTTGTTCATTATACTCTCAAACTAAATGACAAATGTTCTACTGTAGACTTTTACTTTATTTCTATGATACACTATATTCATTTTTTGAATTCATTCACAATTTTCTTATGTTTCCCTTGTACACAATACGTGGTTATATACATGTATGTTTTCAGGAACGAGACAAACAGATGATGACAAGAACGACTGTATTTGAACTTGTCCAGGCTCTCAAGTTTAAGTCCACCATTCCAGATGAGAATCTACTCATGCTAGTACAGGTAAGAAGTTGTCCAGTACAGATAAGAAACTTAAACAACTGTGTTCACATTCAGTGGAAGTTGTCCAGTACAGGTAAGAAACTTAAACAACTGTGTTCACATTCAGTGGAGGTTG